CTGTTCGAAGATGAATAGACGTTGTAAATATTACCATTCTTGTTTACTTTTATTTTTACATTGTTAGTGCCAAGTGATTGACATGAAAGGTGTATATAGGACTAGTTTTAATTATAAAAAAACAGAAACAGCAAAAAATAATTGGATAAAATTCAAATGAACCAGATAAAGATAAAGGTTTTAACTTATAGGACTAAATTAAAACAGATAAAGATAAAGGTTTCAACTTATAGGACTAAATAAAAACAGATAAAAATAAAGGTTTCAACTTATAGGACTAAATAAAAACAGATAAAGATAAAGGTTTCAACTTATAGGACTAAATAAAAACAGATAAAGATAAAGGTTTCAACTTATAGGACTAAATAAAAACAGATAAAAATAAAGGTTTCAACTTATAGGACTAAATAAAAACAGATAAAGATAAAGGTTTCAACTTATAGGACTAAATAAAAACAGATAAAGATAAAGGTTTCAACTTATAGGACTAAATAAAAACAGATACGGTGAATTAATGGAAAGAGTTCCATATGGCACCCACCCCCACCCAAAAATTGTAGAATTGCCTGGATAAAAAAGATTCTGAAAAGGGTTTATTTGAAGGGGCGTGTTAGAAAAGGGAAGCACAATAATTACAGACTGTTGGGCCGCATACAAATGTTTAAATAAACTAGGATACAAACCTGAAACTGTCAATCATTCTGAAAATTTTGTGGACCCGAAAAATGGTGCATGTACAAACCTAATAGAGAATCGGTGGTGGTGTGTCAAAAGACAACTACCAACTACACATACCAGGGCAAAGACATTTGACAAGCATTTGTGTGAATACATGTGGAGAATATTATATTCTGATAAAAGTAGCCTTTTATCCCCAAGAAGATTGTACATCTAATTAATGAAGTAAGTGGTATAATAATGTATTAAAATTATCAGATCATACTATTAATATGCTTTATTAATACATAAATATTACTTTGATGATTTTTTTTTAAATTGAGTGGGGGTGCCATATGGAACTCTTACCGAATTAATTTGACTAAACTTAACTTGATATTATTAATTTCCCGCCCTCTGGTGGATAGTGCAAGCCCCACCCAGTATCATCTACAACGTGATGTCCGGAGACGCTGATGTTTCTGAAGCCGGAGATGTGGTCATTACACCAAACAGTATACTTCACTTAGACTGTTTGTTCCAGCGGGAACATGGAAGTCCCGAATGGGCGTGGTCATCTACTCAAAGGTCAGCCAGACTTTGAACTTTACAGATTAAATTCATATTTTTTATTATTTGTAAATTAATTTCTATATTCCACTTAGAGTTATAATATAAAAAACCGAGATGAAATTATTTTCAGTAAAATAAAGAAATATATTACTATAAAGCTCTAAATTTGGTGTTAGAGCCTGTAAGATCAAATTCTTCTTCATTTTAATCCCCAAATTCAAGAAATTTGTATTTTTAACCCATAAATTCAAAAACATGTGTATTTTTAACCCCTAAATTTAAAAATATATGTATTTTTGAATTTATGGGTTAAAATACACGTTTTTGAATTTAGGGGTTAAATACGTGTATCATAACCCATAAATTCAAAAACGTGTATTTTTAACCCATAAACTCAAGAACATGTGTATTTTTAACCCATAAATTCAAGAACATGTGTATATTCAACCCCTAAATTCAAGAACATGTGTATATTTAACCCCTAAATTCAAGAACATGTATTTCGCTCCAGATCCTTTAAAAATCTTTTAACTTCGGACACTGAAGCTTCATAATAATAAATATAAGTACAGAAACCTGTAGCCAGATGGCGTTTAGCCAAATTTCATTGTACATACGTATAGCCCAAGATCGATAATTTTTTTTAATTTCACGAGAAAAATGAGAAACGTTATTTTTAATAAAGAATTTACTAAGTACCCTATGTGCGCGTCTCTTAATAAATAATTTGCCAGAAATCGATATGACGAATATCGATATAACTTGAGATGAATTAACGTATTTGTTATGTGTCTTCGATAAATAATAATCTCTAAATCAGCTTAAGTTCGAGTTATAAAACAGTCTTTCGACAGACCATTCTAGAAAGTATTGTAGTGAATACGTTGTTTAAAGAACTTAACAATAGTTTTACAATAATAGCAGACAACCTCATGGTGTGAAAGATTGGACGTAGGGGAGGCGCTGGTTGACCTCGTGGTAGAGGGCAATATGTCAGATCTGGAGACCCAGGTTCGAAACCTTGCGAAAACACATTATGCATTATAATAGTAACAGTCAATCTGTTAGTGTAGGTGGTAGGGTACTATTGAAGTGGTTTCTACGAATGGGTCAATTCTACTGAGCTAATGATCGGCTTTCACCATGATATATATTTTATGACCCAGAGTGAATATTATTATCTTAGAAGTTTGTTTGTTTGGATTAAATCAAGTGAGATCAACGTCCAAGTTAACAGTTACAACATACACAAGCTCTCTTAACTATATACATATATCTGTCTCTCTATCTTTTCTCTGTCTCTTCCTTCTCTCTCTATCTCTCTCTCCTCTCTCTTCTCTCTATCTTCTCTCTCTCTCTCCTCTCTCTTCTCTCTATCTTCTCTCTATCTTCTCTCTCTCTTCTCTCTATCTTCTCTCTTTACTTATCTATCTATCTCTTCTCTTTATCTCTATTTTCTCTCCCTATCTGTTTATCCCTTCTCTCTCTTTTCTCTCTTTATCTGTCTTCTCTCTCTCTCTTGCCTCTCCATCTCTATTCCCTAGACATCGAGACCGAAACAATGGCTCTGTCTACTTGGCTAGATAAATAAGAAAGGAGACTGAAACAGAACGTTAACGCTTCCAGGGATAATAACGTGTTCCTGTAACTGTAATGTATCTAATGGTCAGAAGATCCTAAGTAGAACCTCCATAAGCAGCCCAGTCCATCCTTTTGTCTTCGATAAAGGTTTTAGTTGTGTGTTCACTCACCAGTCTATCCAGGACACACAAGAAGAAACATAAATATACTTCCCGCACTTTCTAGACATTTAACACAAAGTTGTTTCTCTTGAAGAATCGTACGTTGGTTTTTTTTAGACAATATCCTTGTGGATGGTCCTTGTCAAGTGATGAAAGGAACTGGAAATATCGATTGTCCATCTACTATGCTAAAGAGGAGGACACTGGATTTTACAGCTGCTCTACACCTAGGGGTGAAAATAACAAGATTACCGTAATTGTCAAAGGTAATATATCATTAACCACTCGTTATATGTTTTGTTAAACAGTTAGTCAGTGCTTTTAACTGACGTGTCCAAGAGGTTAGCGTATCGGGCTGCGGTCTCGAAGCGCTAAAATTCGAGACGTTATGTTTTGAATAAACTCTGCAGTTTCAGATGTTTGTCTGTTTGTTTGTTTGAAATTAAACACAAAGCTACACAATGGGCTATCTGTGCTCTGCCCACCACGGATATCGAAACCCGATTTCTAGCGTTGTAAGTCCGCAGACATACCGCTGTGCCAATGGGGGGGGGCAGATTCAGATGAGAGCGTATAATAAAAGTGACAGTAAATTTCGCTTTTAAGTTCTAAGTTTTAAGCCCATTTAGCCAACGTGTGCGTAAGGTTTGTTTGTTTGTTATGACTTTCGCGCAAAGCTACACGAGGGCTATCTGCGCTAGCCGTCCCTAATTTAGCAGTCTAAGACTAGAGGGAAGGCAGCTAGTTATCACCACCTACAGCCAACTCTTGGACTACTCTTTTACCAATGAATAGTGGGATTGACCGTCATATTATAACGCCCGCACGGCTGAAAGGGCGAGCATGTTTGGTGTGACGGGGATTCGAACCCGCGGCCCTCAGATTGCGAGTCGAGCGCCTTAACCACCTGGCCATGCCGGGGCCTTGACGTAAGTTGTTGTTCAGGTTGAAAACTCCAACTCCAATTGCTGAACACGTATACAGACATACTTGGTGGAGATTATGTCTCATATAAAACGATTTAGCACGTAACAAAATATAAACTATTTTTCCAACGGGACGACTAGTGCAGACTAGTTCTATTTTTTTACTGACCTTCCCTAACTACTAACAGTTACCAGTTGGTCACTCTTTGTATTATTTCATTCTCTAAATCATATGTGACCTCGTGTTCCGTGTGCTGGACTGTATATCCAAGGGTCCATGGTTTACGTTCCTCTGTACCCCAAAAAAATCGCGTTCCGCGCTTTGGAGCTGTGGATGCGTTATGAGAATTAGTGTCAATTCCCATTATTGGTTAGAGTAGCCCAAGAGTTGGCGATGGGTGTTATTTACTAGCTGCCTTCTCTCTAGTATATAAGTTTGAAACTAGGGACGACTAGTGCAGAAAGCCCTTGCGCTTAATTTTTTGCGAATTTCCAAAATAATCCAATCGCATATTTTCTGATTTCTTCTAACAGATGTGGAGTGTCCACCTATACAGTCCGTGGACCATCATCGTGTGATGGCTGTTGAGGGAAATAAGATGCACAGTAAGGCACACTTTGCATGCATGGAAGGATACAAGCTAAGTGGGTCCAAAGATATCACGTGCAAAGCTTCGGGAAAATGGTCTGATGATCCACCTACCTGCCAACGTAAGTTAAACATTTAACATTATTAGTTTGTTTGTTTGTCCAGGACTAACTTACTTTCCAGCCATGAAGCTTCAGGAAAATGGTCTGATGATCCACCTACCTGCCAAAGTAAGTTAAACATTTAACATTATTAATTTGTTTGTTTGTCCAGGACTAACTTACTTTCCAGCCATGAAGCTTTAACCTGGCCTATTTCTGAGTTAAGCATTCAGGATAAAGGCTTTTTTTTTTTACTACGAAGAGTGGTCTAGGGTTTAGATACTAGTCGTGGGCACAGCACAGGTAGCCCTTTGTGTAGCTTTGTGCTTAACCATAAACAAACGAACACAGGTGCATTATAAAAGCAAAGATCAATCCACCACCCTTTCAATTAAGAATAGCTTCGTTGGCGGCAGGTGACCTTTTTTCTGGTCAGTAGTTCTATATCAGAAATAGCTGTACCAAAATTTTGGGCTCCCGATCTGAACGTTTAGCCCATGTGTCGCATAAGGAGTCATCAGATTAAAAAAAAAATCAAAATTTTAAATGTTAATCCAAAGTAAGCCCCCCCCCCCAGTGGCACAGCGGTATATCTGCGAACGTACAACGCTAGAAACCGGGTTTCGATACCCGCGGTGGGCAGAGCAACAGATAGCCCATTGTGATATAGCACTGTTTAATACGTACTCGAGGGTGGATAAGCACGCATGCGTGAATAATGGCAATTCCAGACCATTACGACACATTGAAATATTGTATACATAACGTGCTCCATAGTAGTACAAGGTGTGTCATAGCATACATAACTTGATTCTTATATAACCAACCGTACGAGTAGTTGAAGTTATTTGAAGAACATCGAACTAAATAATTGAAATAAAATATGAAATTAATTATAATTTATGTCAGTGGTCGCAGCCTACTGGTGGTCCATGAGGATCCTCCAGGTGGTCCACGGGCTGGTCCACAAAGCAAGTCACGGCCAAACGAGAGAACAGAATAACTGGGATAGGTTCGCGAGGCCTTCTTCCCCTCCCATGTGATTCGAGGACGAAAAAGTTTGAGAACCTCTGATTCATGTGTTTACCTAGTTGGAGCTCGTTTGTTTTTGTCTTATCCTGGAGACTTCCAGAACAAAAATTGAAGATTTACTGAGAAACGTTATATTTAAAGTAAAACACCTTTCTTAATCTAAACAATCCGTTTGGGTGAAATCTCAGTAACTATTATCGATGTTGAAAATTAAAACTGACAACAGATCATCTAAGCTGATTTTAGTCTATCTTAAAATTACGTGCAAAAAATAAATCAAAATTACATCAAAGCTGGAGATGCTGGAGACTATTACATCAAAAGCTGGAGATACTAGAGACTATTACATCAAAGCTTTGATGTAATAGTCTCTAGTATCTCCAGCTTTGATGTAATAGTCTCCAGCTATTTCCAGTCTTTGATGTAATAGTCTCTAGTATCTCCAGCTTTGATGTAATAGTCTCTAGTATCTCCAGCTTTGATGTAATAGTCTCCAGCATTTCCAGCTGGAGATACTAGAGACTATTACATCAAAGCTGGAGATACTAGAGACTATTACATCAAAGCTGGAAATGCTGGAGACTATTACATCAAAGCTGGAGATACTAGAGACTATTACATCAAAGCTGGAGATACTAGAGACTATTACATCAAAGCTGGAAATACTAGAGACTATTACTTCAAAGCTGGAAATACTAGAGACTATTACATCAAAGCTGGAAATGCTGGAGACTATTACATCAAAGCTGGAGATATAAAAGGAAATATATTATCAAAACGTATATGTATTTTTGAATTTAAATATAAGTGTTATACCGAAAATGTCTTATTGTTTTTGTACGTCATACACGTGTGCTTTAGGTTTACATTTTTAACATATGTTCTGATCGTATTATTCGGGTTTTTGCATGAAACGTCTACTGTTTAAGATATATATATATTCTTTCAGTGACTAGTGCAACAGGAAGGTTTTTGTTTTTCAAATGATCAACCTTTCAGACTATAGTCGGAATAAACTGTTTATTCTCTCGTATGATAAAATGGATGGTTGATGGTTTTTTTTTTGTGGATTTTATTGGAGTGATATATTGTCAAAAATAAATTAAAAGTGGCATGGGAGTAGTAACTTTTATTTCAATGCATATTTCATTGGCTTCGTGGAAGTAACACGTTCTCCAACTGTTCGGTGCGTGGGTTAAGAATTATTTACGTATGCTAACACAGTAGTTTTGTCGCCACAGATGCGAAACCGGAGCGCCAGGGACGACATGTTTACCACATTTATGGTAAATTATTGATCATCTAATAGTGCAAAGCTCCAGGAGCTTCACTTATTCAGGAGTGTTACGTCAACCTTTTTAAGGAAAGTTGTTAGTATAACGAGATGTAAAACTAAATAAAACACTCTTTCCAACTTATCCAGGAGTGTTACGTCAACCTTTTTAAGGAAAGTTATTAGTATAACGAGATGTAAAACTAAATAAAACACTCTTTCCAAGAGGAAAGGTTTCAGTTCTACGCGAAACCGTAACAACTGGAGGAGGGCCAGTTTGAAACAACGCCCTCGACTGCAAGGTTAACTTACTTATGATTCCGAAAGAGCACCCTCCGACACAAAATATAGTCCTTGCTATGAGGTTGTGCACGTCTCCTGGTGTCTTTAACAATACAATTAAATTGGATTTGAGGTTGACAAATCAGCCCGGCATGGCCAGGTGGTTAGGGCGTTCGACTCGAATCCCTGTCCCACCAAACATGCTCGTCCTTTCAGCCGTGGGGGCGTTATAATGTGAGGTCAATTTATACCAACTATTCGGTGGTAAAAGAGTAGCCAAGAGTTGGCGGTAGGTGGTGATGACTAGCTGCCTTTTCTCTAGTCTTACACTGCTAAATTAGGGACGGCTAGCGCAGATAGCCCTCGTGTAGCTTTGCGCGAAATCCATAACAAACAAGTTTTCCAACCAGACTTCGAAATCAACCATTCATTCTTCATAAGAAAGATGATCCAAGAAACTGGAATCGTACCCCCCTGTTAAACTAACTACTTGTTAAGAGCCTCCATATAACCTCAATGAATTTGTTGTGCTTTTGGTAGGCTTAAATGTGGCCTTGGAGGCCAATGTGCAGATAGAACGCAGTGTCTGTGTGTCAAGACCTTAAGATATATGATCTAAAGTTGACTTCACTGCAAAGCTTACAGTTAGGGATTTACAGTGGTGAGACAGACTACGAGTTTTGATTTAATGTGTTGTACAGAAGTGTAATATTTTTAACACTAAAAAATCTAAATATCCTTATGTTGTCTTCGGTTAAAACTGTTAGTAAGAATTAACTGTTGGATCATTAACTTCTTAATGTCGTTTCAATTTTTTTTTCGATAATTGTCTATGAACGGATGTTAATTAACTATAAACGGTTGTCAGTTCACTATGAAAGGTTGTGCTAATTCAATATGAACTGATGTTAATTAACTATAAACGGTTGTCAGTTCACGATAAAAGGTTGTGCTAATTCAATATGAACTGATGTTAATTAACTATAAATAATTAACATCAGTTCATATTGAATTAGCACAACCTTTCATAGTGAACTGACAACCGTTTATAGTTAATTAACATCAGTTCATATTGAATTAGCACAACCTTTCATAGTGAACTGACAACCAACTTATGACCATATGCTATGAGTGGATGATTATATTTTCATCTTAAACCTAATGTCTTTGTAAGTTAAACAATTTTGCTGAACCATCAAGATGCTACAAGAAGTGATTTCTGTATTATTTATTATCTTTGTTTCTTTCTATATACACACATTTGATTTTGCGCTGTTCACTAGTTATCCAGTGTCCACCTTTGACCCCAGACTCTCCGCACCTAAAGCTCAGCACTCACAACCGGACATATGGTGAGCGTGTCAAATTCTCGTGTCCCACAAGCTACAGACTTGTTGGGGTGTCGTCCTTACAGTGTTTGAAAAACGAATCCTGGTCAGATGATCCTCCTGCATGTGAAGGTAAGCCAAAGTCATTATATGAAAAACGAGTCTTGATCAGACGATCATCCTGCATATTAAGGTAAGCCTAAGTCATTGTATGAAAAAACGAGTCTTGATCAGACGATCCTCCTGCATATGAAGATAAGCCTAAGTCATTATATGAAAAACGAGTCTTGATCAGACAATCCTCCTGCATATGAAGGTAAGCCTAAATCATTATATGAAAAACGAGTCTTGATCACTCAGTATTTTTTGTTTTTAGGATTATCGAACAAAGATATAGAAACAGCCATATTTACATAGCAGTCCTTAATTTAGAAATGATACATCCATATCAATATAACAGTCCTTAATTTAAATGTGATACAGCCATATTTACATAGCAGTCCTTAATTTAAATGTGATACAGCCATATTTACATAGCAGTCCTTAATTTAAATGTGATACAGCCATATTTACATAGCAGTCCTTAATTTACAAGTGTACATACTAGATGGAATGCAGGCACTGAACACCACCCACTGAAACATGTAACACGTTCCCCCAAAATAAAACCACTTTATAAATCATAAAGAAAAAGACAAGGTTTACATGCGAAACCTGTGACGAACCTATCCACAAAACACAGGTTTCAACAACTATTGTAAACACAGTATGGATCTCCGTTTCTGTGTGAAGAATAGCAGGCCTCGTGATGGAATGTGGTGACGCCAGGAAGTCTTTATTGGAACACGTGTATACATCGTGTTGCTAGTGAAGAGAGAAAAACTTTTCCCGTCTCAAGATGATGAAAAAAAAAACCTAATAAGGTCGTCCACGACACAAACAAGACTAATTGGTCGTCTGGCAACAATTTCGAACGAGGAAAAGAAAGAGTACACCACAAAATTGGACTTGAAGCAAGCTGCTTGCGATTTGACGTCAGTGAAAATAGATAAAGTCTTTACCTGGTACGGTGGTGACATGTACATTCAAACTGTAACATTTGGTCGGGCAGTGGTAAGTTTACGGACTTACAACGCTAAAATTCGGGGTTCGACTCTATGCGGAGGGAGGGGGGACACACAGCAGATAGTCCAAAGTGACTTTGCTCTAAAACAAATAAATAATTCTTAGGTCTTAATAATTAAATTTAAATGAATAAATTACATTGGTAGTCCTACGACATTTTGTGCACAATTGAAAGTAAAATTTGAATGTGAAACCCTGCACGAGGGAACAAAATAGCGAGCACCAAAACTGGACATTTGTTTGTTTTGAATTTCGCGCAAAGCTACACGAGGGCTATCTGTCCCTAATTTAGCAGTGTAAGACTAGAGGGAAGGCAACTAGTCATCACCCCCCTCCGCCAACTCTTGGGCTACTCTTTTACCAACGAATAGTGGTATTGACCGTCACATTATAACGCCC